ATCAGGGTCCATTTCATTTAACGGCTGTTTTGTCCAAATGTTTTTTGTTCACTATCTTGCTTCAGTGAACTCTTTTATATTTTTCCTCATGGCTTCTGACAGGTATTGTGCAATCTGCCATCCACTCAAATATACAGTTGTTTTTACAAAAATCAGAATATTTATTCTCAGTTTGGCTGCATGGATAATTGCCAGTGTAATTACATCAATGTTATTTAGAGCATATCCTCTTCCTTATTGTGGCTCAAATGTAATCAATCACTGTTTCTGTGATCATATTGGGATAACAGTTCTGGCCTGCACTGACAGGACCCCACATTCTGTACCAGCTTTTATCAGTGCAATGATTGTACTGCTTGTCCCACTGGCTTTTATATTGTTCTCATATTGCTCCATACTTATGGAGGCAAGGAAGATATCTGGTTGGAAAAATTGTCAAAAATCTTGGTCAACATGTAGCACTCAGCTGATAATAATCTCACTTTATTATTTACCAAGATGTTTTGTATATTTGGCCAGTGTTTTGGGGATTAGTTTCAGTGCAGATGTGCGTATTGTAATCGTAATGCTTTATAGCCTTGGTCCTCCAATGGTCAATCCTCTGATTTACTGCCTGAGAGCGAAAGACATAAAAAAATGTTTGTGGAAGCAGTTTTACAGAATTGTGCCTCCAAAAGTACAAGTTTTAACAATTAGTAAATGAGAAATCACTGTAATGATATTAAATCAAATCAATTTTATGTTTTAAAATGCATTTCTTTCAGTCAAGACTTCTTAGGATATAATTTATTATGAATAAAAGAGCAAAAAATCATTAAATTATGTGTTCCAAGATAACATTTTACTCAACACTATCATCTTAGAGCTTGGAGGCCTACGTTTCAAATATTATATGTGGCTGTTATGTGTGGTTTTCATCTTTTTCTAATACATATTATGACAATATTTAGGACTTTCTTTTCTTTATACAGTTCAGAGACTTTTGTTTTATATTTTATTAATATGAATTTCTAAATTGACCTACAATCAAGTGCATCGTTGCAAGACATGGGTCATGAACGAATTCAAAAAGTTAGAGAATATTAGCATGTGTGTGTGTCAATGAGTCTAAGGCATTTGGTTTCAAATGTTTATAGCGATTGACATTTTATTACCACTATTAATAAACTCAACAATTCTACCATGTGTTCTATTCTCAAAATTTATTATCAATTAGCAGCATGTCCAATTTGTGGTCTTGTTTCAAAACTATATTTTTTTATTTTTTATTTGCCAAGTGATATTCCTATGCTTACCATCTGCTTACCTTCATGCATTTTAGAATATCCAGCTTAATATATAAAATACTTTAGTGTGATCACTTCATGTGAAAACAATGAATCAATTAATCTGTCATTTAATACATTTATTATGTATGAACATTTTACACACTAAAACTACTCTTTTTCTTTCATGGTCCAACACCACCTGACAGCCCTATTAGTCAGTTAATTGTTTAACCACATGGGCGATAAGGGCCTGATTAATTTTGAACACGTTTAAATTTGTATTTCTCGCTCTGTTGATCTGTTGTGATCTGTAGTTGTGACAAAACTTGTCCTGTTTGATTGTGTTTCTAACATTAACCACAGAGCTGTGTCTGTTTTTGAACATCACGGACTAATAAAATAAATCTAATGATCATGAAGGTAACTACCTCTAAAACCAAACTAGACTGAGGTAACAAACCAAGATTAAAGTAAGGATCATGAGATGCGCAAATATACATCCATTCTCTTTACCCACGTTTTGTTGTTTGTCTCCAGCAGTCACTGGGTGAGAGGCAGGGTACACACTGAACATGTCACCACTCCATCACAGGGCCACATAAAAAACAAATGAGACAGTTTATCATTCACACACAAACTCACAACTAGTAAGAGTTTAGACTTCCCAAACTGCACGTCAAACATCCTGAGAGAATATAGAGTAGATGGACAATAACTCCACCTTCATCACAGTGCATGCTGGGAAAAGTCATTTTAAGCAGGTAACAAACAGGTGAGTGTCTCAGAGTACTCTGCTGCTCTGCTTGTATAAAAGGTATTTTTAAATTGAAAAGGCTCACTTTCCTGTGCTTAAATTTTATTATTACTTATGACTTGGGATTAAAAGTTTGACAAGGTTGATTGTTTGATGCATAAAATGAAATTTCCCACTGATTTTTTTTCTTTGAAGACTGAAAACAAGAACAAACATTTTGTAAAAAAAAAAAGTTACCTCAAAAATAATAGATTTGATTTTATTCATCGATTATTAAAATGACAGCAATTATGTAAAATTTGTATAGCCACAGCTAAACTTTAAGGTTTGAATGTTCATAATGTGTCGTGTGCTTTTTGGTGTTTTAGGACTTTTCTTCCTCATCATGTCAGAGAGAAATGCCAGCAGAGTGACTGAATTCATTCTGACTGGATTCCCTGGACTTCATCCAGAGTACTATGGTCTTGTTTCAGCTCTTTTGTTCTTTGTGTATTTGATGACTGTCATAGCAAATGCTACAGTTTTACTCTTATTTGCAACTAACCGCTGYCTCCATAAGCCAGTGTATTATATCATCTTAAATGTATCTGTATGTGACCTTCTSTTCAGCACAACAACTTTACCTAAAATCATCAGCAGGTATTGGTTTAAATCAGGGTCCATTTCATTTAATGGCTGTTTTGTCCAAATGTTTTTTGTTCACTATTGTGGCGCATTGAATTCTTTTATATTTTTCCTCATGGCTTTTGACAGGTATTGTGCTATCTGCCATCCACTCAAATATACAATTGTTTTTACAAAAATCAGAATACTTATTCTCATTCTGGCTGCATGGATAATGGCCTTTGTAATTCCATTAATGTTAATAATTAGAGCATATCCTCTTCCTTATTGTGGCCCAAACATGATCACTCAATGTTTCTGTGATCATATTGGGATAACAGTTCTGGCCTGCACTGACAGGACCCCATATGGTTTAGCAGCTTTTACCAGTGCCGTGATTATTCTCCTTGTCCCTCTGGCATTCATAGTTTTCTCATATTGCTCCATACTTATGGAGGCAAGGAAGATATCTGGTTGGAAAAAATGTCAAAAATCTTTGTCAACATGTAGCACTCAGCTGATAATAATCTCTCTTTATTATTTACCAAGATGTTTTGTATATTTGGCCAGTAATGTTGGGATTAGTTTCAGTGCTGATGTGCGTATTGTAATCGTAATGCTTTATAGCCTTGTTCCTCCAATGGTCAATCCTCTGATTTACTGCCTGAGAGCGAAAGACATAAGAGAATGTTTGTGGAAGCAGTTTTACAGAATTGTGCCTCCAAAGGTACAAGTTTCAACAATCAGTACCTGAGAAATCACAAATTATATTAAATGAAATCATTTTTCTGTTTAAATATGCAATTCTTTCAAAACATCATATGATTTATTTTATTATTAATAAAAGAGTAAAATATAAAAACAATGTGTTTCATGATAATGTAGTAATTAACTTTATCATCTCTGATCTTGGAGGCCTCAGTTTCACACCTTTTCTGGGGCTGTTTTGTGTGGTTTGTGTGTTTTTCTAATATACAGTATATGATGATTATATTTAAGCATTTTCTTTTAATAGTTCAGAAATATGCATTTTATTATTGTTTTTTTAATTATGTCATTTTTTGTAATGGATATGCAAAACTGATCTGAGAATAAGTGCGTAGTTGCTTTGTGAGACAGACGCAGGTCATGACGGAAATCACAAAGTTAGAGAAAATCATCATGTATGTGTTTTTGCACTAACGTCGAAAATTTGGTTTTAAATGCTTGCAGGAACTGACAATTTTTTATTAAAACTATTAATAAACTCAACAAGTGTGCCATGTGTTTTATTTTCAAAGTTTAAAATGGATAGTACAGAGTAACAGTATGTCCAATTTGTGGACCATGGGCGATAATGTGCCTGAATAGTTTTTAAACACATTTAAAATTGTTTTTCTCGCTCTGTTGATCTGTTGTGTTCTGCAGTTGTGACAAAACTTGTGTTGTTTACTTTCATGTTCATGTTTCTAATATTAACCACAGAGATAGAGCTGTGACTGTTTTTGAGCATCAGCATTAGGAAAATTAATCAAGTATTCATGAAGGTAAATAGCTCTTAAACCAAACTAGACTGTTTGAGGTAACATAAATTAAAGTCAGGATCGTGACACGAATAATAGCAACAAACATCCATCCATTTGGTTTACCCACTTTTTGTGAAGGATTATGGGAAATTGGTGTCTGTCTCGGCCCTGAGATGGACTTGCGACCTGTCCAGGGTGTACCCCGCCCCTCCACTGTGACTGCTGGATATGGGCACCAGTGACCCCCATGAACCTAAAAAGAAAAAGCAGGTATAGATGATGGATGGATGGATGGATGGATGGATGGATGGATGGATGGATGGATGGATGGATGGATGGATGGATGGATGGATGGATGGATGGATGGATGGATG